GTTGGATTGGCATAGCTTGATGCTATTCAAACAGGCAGGGAACTATAGGCAGGAAAACTCTTGGGACTGCTGTCGTGGCACATCTTATGCAATGGAGATGAGGTTCTTCCTTTACCTTATAGGACTGGCATCTGGTTATGCTGTTGCATTGCTTCTATAGTTTTGGTTAAAGAAGTTTAGTACTGAGTAAATATATTACTCATCTTTTGGTTTAGTAGAAGTACACAGTGAACATGGCAAACATGATTGCCAACAACTGAGCATTCAGTAGCTGACTAATGCCAGTAAGCTTAAAAACAAGAAATCTGTTGAAGTTGTCAACTTGGTTTTGTGTAAGAGTGTCAGTGTTTTGAATTGGGTTGGTTAGAGCTACTCAGCTGAAAGAACAGAACAATAGATTGGTTTTATCTCCTTCCCTTTGTGACTATCCACCTTTGTTCTAGCTCACGTCTTCTCATTCTTACTTCACCTTATGCATGAATAGATTGAATATAGAAATAATAGCAAGGAGCTATCAAAGCTGTGCTTAAGGACATGTTCTCCAGCTGTATCTGTGACTAGGAGTGGGTTGTGTATACGAGGTTTGAAGTAAACATAACCATGGAGATGGTCTGAACCTCCAGATCTCAGCCAAGGCTGCCCTTGATGTACCTTCTGGAATGAGTGCGGCTGCAGGTGGCAGTGAAGAAGTTTTGCAAGCATCCAGGATACCTGGTGCTGTTGTTTTAGCATCTTTGTGACAGTAAGTGCAGTTGTCAAGCAAAATAACTCAGTACAGGCAGATTGAATAACTACCTAAATCACGTTGTTAACTAGAATTAACGAATTGTACGTTGTTCACAGTGCTTATAGTGTTTAAAAACTGCTTATGGGGTAGGAAATCTACTGGCTTGGGCAGTATATAAATACAAAGTCAAAAGCATCCAGAAAAGCGAGTTTGCATGGGAACTCCTACTGCCACAGCTATGTGGGTTTGTATTACTGTTAAATTTGGTTCTGGTGCAACAGTTTGCAGTTGATAAGCCCCAGACTCGTCACTTTGTCTCTGGTGCCAACCCACATGTTTTACCATGTATTTGGAGAGGAAGGTTCTTTTTTCAGTCTAGTTAGCTCATGACTGGAAAGCCCCACAGTGCCTGCATGTATGTAACTTAATACCTTTAAGGCCCTTTTTTGGGGGTGCAAATTGGTCATGTTTTAACTGCCTTGAAAAAACAGGTTCCAGCACGACCTGTGTGATTTCAGCTGTGTTGCTGCCATGTGAAGAGAGGGCTGGGAAGGCTCCCTGCTCTCTTAAATCAAATTTGATAGCGTTGTCTTTTTCTCATGTGAATTAGATGCTTTTAAAAAATATCTTGCTTCTCTGTTCTAGTGGAAATTTTTATTAGGTTTGTTAAACAGAAGCGGTACTGCGGAAGGTCAGAGCGTGTAGGACTTGTGTTTCATCAGAGAAATTAAGAGAGATTATTACTATTTGATAGGAGGGTCGTGTATTACATGACATTGTCATGTATTCATTGTCATGAATAATGGTGTCAGACCTGTCATTTGCTGTGGATTCCTGTGTAGCTAAGTACAACTTCTGACTCTGTTAAATTCTTTTGCTGAAGATGATGGTTAGAAGATGAGTACAGTTATATACTATGGCACAGTCATGTTTTGGCAATTTGCTTCTAACGAAGTCAAAATGATCTGACCTCATTGAGTGGTTTTTGGAAAAGGGAAAATAGAAGTGCTAAAATACATGAAGGAGAAGCCACTTCCCCAGGTAAGTGCAGCACAGTAAGGTCTCCTTAAGTGGGAACTGCAGAGCCCAGCCGTGTGATGACTTCTCATTCGGTAAGAATTGGCTGCTTATCCCTGCATCCCAAGTGAGTACATCCCATAGCCTCCCATCAGTCAGCTGCTGACTCACTTGGATGTGTAGACAGCTGTTCTGAAAGTAAATAAAGAAAATCGTGCACACAATTATTTTTTTTAAAGGTGGGGAAGAACAGTCCCCAGGAGAGATGGTTTCTGCTAAGCCCTATTGTCATGGCAGATTGTGCAACATAAATTCAGTGTTATAAACAGCTTGTAATTTTAGTCTTCCATTTCTGTGTTAGCAGGAATTAGACAGAAGCTACTGGCATAGAGTTTAAACATTATTACCACAGTAAAAAAAAAAAAAAAGGGAAAAAGAAAAAAAAGTTTTACACTTGTAGTTATTGATCATAAAGTGCCACAGCTTCCTTCTCTATTGTGTATTTAGTATAGAGTGGGATGCTTTTTATTTTGTGCTTCTGTCAGAGGCAGTTCTGCAGGGCAGGAAGGAATGCAGAGGTTTGAATTCTATCTTCTCACGAGGATGAAGCTTGTCTTGTAATTTAGGCTTTACCTGCTTACTCTTGCGGAGGTTTTTTTGGTTTGTTTGGCTTGGGCAATGTTTTCACAAGCTGGCAAGCTCAACTGTATTGTGACTCAAATGTTGCTGTGTAGTTTTTGGAGTTATTCTGAAATTGCAGTAAGCTGTTGCTCCATACAGCCCACAGCAACCTTGCCAGAGTTTGGAGCAGTCAGCCGTGATGCTCCAACAGCAGCTCTTGGTTTGGGCGCACGTAGGGCAGTGATGGGTAAGGACTTTGCTGTGGATTTCATGTTAGTTAGCTGTTGTCTTCTGTTGAGGGGCAGAGATTCTTGTAGGTGTTATCTGACCCGGGAACTACAGGCTGTGGAGTCCAAGGTTTGGTGCTGCTCTGAGTTGTTTGATAGTCAGGCGTGAAGCATTACCATGCAAGCCCGGCCACTTGGATGTTACTGCAATGCTGTCTTCCATTTTTGCCCTGTGTATCCACGAGGACAAACAGCAATCCATGCCAACTGAGCTGCTCGTGTTGTGCTATTTCAGTAGCAGGAGCTCACAGATGTGGCTTCAGAGGAGCCCCTGAGGGATGTGCTGGGTCAGTGCAGCCGAAGTGAGAGAGGATTAATTTGGGGATGACTTTGTCATGAGGATGCTTTCATGTGAACTTGGCTAAATCCAGAGCTGCTTGCTCTGGTGAGCTGTGTGGAGAAGGCATCAATCAATATTATTATAGGGATTCAGTTCGTTCTGTTGGCTCCATTTTTGTTAAGTCGCTGTTCCTGTTGACATTCAAAGTAAAGTGCTGGCATGGGGAAAGCAAGCAAGATGAGGGACAGAAATGTAATTTATTCTGAAAATTTATTTGCGTGCTCTAAGGGGAAATCGGAGGAAGTTCGTGGAAAGCAGCAATGCCAGAGGTACCTTCAGGCTGTGACAACTGAAATGGCAGGCACAGAAAGGCCGATCTTAGCTGTGATGTGGTCGTAGTCCTTCTGTGTATTATTTCTGTGAATGATTTGTTCTGGCCAACTTGGTAACACAGTGGTCCTTGGGTTGGAAATATATAGTTGGTAGAGTGGTAAGGGAGAAAATTGAAATAGCATGTATTTTTCTAGGGACTGTGGGAGACAACGGGAACGTATGTGGAATCCAGTCTGTTTTTTGGGTTATTGGGCCAAATCTCATTTGTGCCTTTGGATGTCGTTTTTTCCTTCCAGTTCTAGGAGAGAGGAAATTCTATAGGATGATGAGAGGCACAAGGTTAATTGATGATAACCAATGGTTATATTGCAGTATAATCACCAGTCCCTTGAGTGTTCAGTCCCTTGGTTGTGGTCTAGCTTTGCCCTCAAAAACTTGACTTCTAATTAAATGAACAGAAAGCTGGGCTTAGATGTATAAACAAGAATGCTCTCAAGACTTGCATTCAAATGGAAACAGTTAGTTTTTGTTTGGGTAGAGTATGTGAGCTAAAGATGGCAGTGGTGTATGAGTATTAGAGAGTTTTAGTTGCACTATGGCCTGAAATGGTTGATGTTTCATGGGTTGGAGGGTGTCTTTTGTCTCCCTCCCGAAGCAGGGAGAACTTGGTAGACCTCAGGTGGTTCAAGTGGTGAATTGAGTGAGGAAGCACCCTTGTTGAAGGGCTTGGAAGGCAGCTCCGAGCGTGTGATTGAGGATTAGTTCCTTGTTACTGCTTCTGACATCCCAATAGGTAATAGAGGAGCTGGCTTCCCTAGGAAGAGCACAAGTGATTGATGTGACACATACAGGATAGGTGAGCTTAGAGAGTACAGAAACTTTGTGGGAGGTTGTGTAAGTACATTAAAGGCACTAAAATATATATTTCATTCACAATGTCACTACGAAGGCAAAAACCGAGAGCGTGGTGGGTGGTGGAAGACTGTTTTAATGTAAAGTGTCGTAAGAAATCTCTTCAACCACTGATTTCTGTGAACTCCACATTTAATTTCATCTTTACACAGTATGCAATTAAAGAATCCTTAGATTTCTGCAGTAACATTTCTCCCTGCATCTGCAGATGGTGCAGCTATGCTGAAAGCTTCCTGCGTGGGCACAGAGGGGGATTGTGGCTGCTGATGGGTTCCTCCTTGGGCTCAACATTCTTGATGCCTTTTGGAGTGGCACTACAGGATGGGCTGTGCAGACGGTCGGGCCCCGGCTGCAGTATTGGGCTCTTCAGAGATGGTCAAATAAAATCAGTTCTCTTTGTCAGGGCTGTGTGGGAATGCTGATGGCTTTATTAAAACGAGCATGGTAGGTATCAGGAAAAACAACGATGAAGATCAAGTATTACTGTTCCTTGTTTGTAATCTATACAGGCATAATGTTTTCAGACCGTTGCCTTTCCATTTCCACTGATCCTTTGCTTCCCTTCTGAACAATTACAGTTGTGTAGAAGAGAGGCTCCCTTTCAATCTGCTGAAGGGCCTTATTGTGCCTTGGTACCTTTTTGGTAACCTGACTCGGGTCGGTTTTGAGTAACCTGGAGGCTCAGAAGCTGTCATCAGCCGTACTTCTTTAACCCTCAAGTGTCTGCGCGGTCTTTTTTGAGTCTTTTTTTTCTTAAGGTGCCAGACAGCCCCTCTATTGAGTTAATCCAATATATAGTAAACATCTCAATATGCAGACCGTTATGCATTATGCAGATCTCAATCCATCCGGTACAATAAGTGCCTTCTTTGTTGTTGTGAAAGAGATTGTGACGCTGGAGATGTTTGCCTTGAAAAGGACACTGTATGGTGTGGAGCTGGGATGAGCACCGTTGGACCGCAGCCACGTTCAGTAGCTGCTTTGGACTTTTAATTAAATAAAGACCTGCCATAGATTAAAAAACACATGATGGGCAGGAAGTGGCTCTGTAGGGAATAAATGCCAATGCTGTTCAAAGACGCGCTGCTCTCCCAGCAGACCCCAGCTCTGGGCTGGGTTGCTGAAGGATGGTGCGTCTGAGCCTCTCCTTGCATGAGGTTGGGAGATGGCAGTGATGCTTGCCCGGCTCTGTGGGTAGGAGCTGCAGCACAGCACTTCTGTGCTGAGATGTTAATTCCACAGATGTGTTCGTGTCTGGGTAAAGAATCTATTGCTGCTTGTTATTTAAATAAGCATTTCTTTCATGAGGTGGTTTTCCATCTAAAATCAGATTTAGTTTAGAATAAATCTGAGATTAGGTTTGCAGCTTAAGGAAAGGGTAGAAGGTCTGTGTGCAGCTGATTGAAAACTGTGTGAATCTGATGGTAGTTATCCTGGGTGTTGGTAATCTGCCTGAGAGCTGCTGGAGCAGGATGAAAACACGTGCTGCCTTTTTATTTTTCTGTTAGTGAGAAAAGTAAGTGCATGATAGTGAATTTCCAGTTCAGAACAGAGCACAACGCAGAAGCAAGCTGTGGCAGTCATATTTAAAAATGATATCTGCTAGGATATCAAAATCACTTAAATGGAAAATAAATATTCTGAGGAGCATTTGAGGTGCTGTTTGGCCTGACAGGCCAGAGCGTATTGTAAGTCCACACACACTTCTTGTAAAATGGGATCCAAAGAAAACACAGCGCTGCCAAATGGAAATTGTGGTACGCTTTGAGCTCTGATTAATTGTTTTTTATAAAATCCCTTTCAGGGCAATGAGAAAAACGTGAGAGAAGATGATGCATTGTGTTATAATTAACTTTTGAGAACAACGTGAACTTTAAATGAACTGAGAAAAAAACAAGTCTGCTTTGATTGGAACTATCTCTCCCAAATATTAGCACAGACTGAAGTGCTTGTCCTACCTCCCGTTTAGGGCTCTGCAATTCTCATTATATATATTGAGGTCTGCAAGATGTGACTTCCTTGATAAACTAGTAAGTTCTTAAATCAGGAGCACGCTCGTCTGCAGGCAGTTCCTAGGCTGGAGCCCGCTGGACTTCTTCCTCCCCTGTATTAAGGGGATGAGGTTTCGTAACTGAGGAAAGGGAGTGCATAGTTTTTCCATAAAGTTCTAGGAATCTCATTGATTTATAAAAGCATTAAGTATCTGAAATTAAGTAACTTTCAAGCTGAGACAAACATAAAGCTAAAACCAATATGACTTATAAAGCCAAGCTGCAGAACCGGTGCAGGAGCAGACGTATAACGCTTGAGTTAATGGTTGCTGCCATTTCTCTTACAAATTGTTCTTTAGGGTATTGTAACTCAGCTGTTTTTAAACCCATCACTCTGGAACCTTGCCTACAAAATGTCAGCGCAAGTGCAAATTTTACTCCTTTAATGAAATAAAGGGCTTGGAGCAGCTAAGCTTTCTAAAATTTGATGGCAGTAAAATAGATTTTGCTGCTTTGGCTTTGCCATAACAAGAGCCATACTGTTCACCTTGTCCTGCCAGGCGGATGAGGCAGAAACTGAAGCAGTTAAATTGGAGAAACTATGCTGTAATTTGGCTTTTTTCCACAAGAGAAGCCTACTGCCTGGCTGTAAACATGCTGGTATTGGTGGGCTGTGCTTTGGGCAGAGGGCACTGCCTCTCGAGATTGGGTTGGAGGGATCGCAGAATGGTAGGGATTAGAAGGGGCCTCTGGAGATCATCCAGTCCAATTCTTTGTTTGAAAAGATGACTTCTTCAGAAGAGAATTTTGGAAATTGGAGCAAGACTTGGTACTGCCAGGTAGATGCAACTTTACCTGGGCTGGGGCTGTCAGTGCAGGTTCAGGAGGAGAAGCCCGTGTTTGCCTCGTGTGACTGCTCCATCTGTAAGCAGGGCTGTGACCTTGGAGATCTTGTATGTTCCCTCTCTCCCATCTGGCTTTGAAAGCTGAGCAGTGCCAACCCGTTCACCTTGCTGTTTTCCTTTCCTTGAAGTCAAAACCTTGACACTTACCCCATGCAGCAGTATGCAGTTGTTCTGTGATCAGTATATACTAAAATGAGAATTTCTCACCTTGCTGCTCCTGAAGGCCAGGCTAGGTACACGAGGTTTTGTTTGTTGGTTTGTTTTTAAGGTTTTCTTGGTGGTGGCTGCTTACAGTGCAGCAGTCCCCATTAAAATAGCCTGTGCTTTCAGCTCCGATCTTTTACAGAAGGAAGATTTGGTAGCAGTTTGCACAGAAAACAGCTGCTTGTCAGCAGAGATCCCGTCCTGTTGTGTTTTTTTTAACATCCCTCTAACAAGAAAGTGGCACTCTTATTTTGCTTGTAACGTATGTTGTGTGCTGTAATCATTTGGCATATTACCTGTCTTTTAATTCCTTGTTGGATGTTATGAATTTGTTGTCGGACATTAGAGATGCTGTGGTTTTAGTTTGTTTGCGTTCTGGATCCTTTTGTTAGCTGAAGTTATTAGCTTTAGATAAGCCTTGTACTATGGGAGGGCTGCTTTGGATTGTCAGAGTGGTTTCTGAATCTCTGGACTGTTTGTCAGGGTTAGAATTAAAATTTTTGGCTTCAGTGTTTATGTTGAGGCTTATTCCTCGTCTGAGGAAAAGATGTTGTTAAAACAATTAAGCCTAGCATGTGTAAGAAGAGAACCTTTCCACAAAATTAAATTGCTTGGGGTTTATTTAAGTTTTGGGTTTCCCAAATAAATTGGCATTTGACTTTGTTTGCTTAAAAGCAAGTCATTATCTGTTCTGGGGAATCTTTATTTCCATGTTTTCCATGGAAGACAAAGTCAGAGGGAGTCCAAGAACAACAGCTCTGCACGCCATCGTTCTTTGTCTTACTTCAAAGTGTATTTTGTCTAATTACTGCATTATTATTGCTTTTCTTCTACTGCCTTTAAAATTCTTATTGTGGTGCATGTATTAGATGGAAGGATCTAATACATAGACGTATTAGGGAAAAATCCTCTTGGCCATTGTTTTCTAGAGTGCATTGAGTTCAATCTCATGTTTTCAAGGGAAATTTCTCTCTGTGATGCTGTGTGTTCTTGTAAACAAACTTATCCTGTTTCTTAGAGGAACTTTTTTGTCTTGATGCCAAAAATCAGTGCAACTGGATTCACAGGATCATGGGAATGCCACGCTTTAGATACAGGCCCAAGTGCTTTCCTTCCTCCCAGTTGCAGTGCAGGCTGTGCTGAGCACTTTCTCTGGTCCTGGCGGTGGTGCTGGTCTATGGCAGGGCTGGCATTGAGAATTCGGACTAGTTTACCTTGTGACGCTGGAAGAGAAGATGATTTGAGCAGTTGTAATTTTTTTTTTTTTTAAATAAAATGTTTGCCTTTATGCCCGTGTATCATGAAGGCTGGGGAGGAAGGAGGAAGTAAATTCAGTATGCGCTGACCAGTGGGTTGCTGTCTGTGTTACTTCTTGGGAGTTGTGCGGCTGAACCCCTGCTCAGATCCCGTGTATATAATGATTTTAACTTGCAGCAGGACATGCAGATGCGCTCAGTTTGTGTTCCTCAATCTGTTGCAGCTCTCTTTTCCACAGCAGTAATAAAACAAGGCTTGCTTGTCTGCTGAAGGATATGGCTCATAGCGCTGTGCTGGTGCTGATAGTGCTTGTAGTGATGAGTTAAATGATGCAAATATTCAGGATAGATGTACACCAAGCACTCATTTCCTGTTTTAACATTGCAGCCTGATTATTAAGTTGAAACAGAACAAAACAAAAAAACCACTCAGCGAGTGTATGGCCGCGGGAATAGCCTACGTGCATTACAACTTTAAAAGTCTTAAAAATGCTTTATTGCTAACTTTCCTTTTCTCTTCCACGTTTTCAGTTTGTGGGCCGAACGTCGACATTCGCAATGATATCCATGAGCTGAAACGTCTGGAGAACTGCACGGTAGTGGAGGGTTTCCTTCAGATTCTGCTCATCTCTAAAGCAGAGGATTACCGCAACTTCCGCTTCCCGAAGCTGACTGTCATAACTGACTACTTGCTGCTGTTCCGTGTGGCGGGCTTGGAAAGCCTCAGCGATCTCTTCCCCAACCTCACAGTCATTCGTGGGAGGAACCTCTTCTACAACTATGCCTTGGTTATCTTTGAAATGACAAATCTGAAGGAGATCGGGCTTCACAATTTGAGGAACATAACCCGCGGTGCCATACGGATTGAGAAAAACTCTGACCTGTGTTACCTCTCCACAGTGGACTGGTCTCTCATCCTAGATGCAGTCTCTAATAACTACATTGTTGGAAATAAACCGCCGAAGGAGTGTGGGGACTTGTGTCCAGGAACGATGGAGGAGAAGCCGCTGTGCGAGAAGACCTCTATTAACAACGAGTACAACTACCGCTGCTGGACCACCAACCACTGCCAGAAAAGTAAGCACTGAGCAGCTTGTGCTTTTTGTTATCTCTTTCTGAAGTAAAGGTTTAATTTTGTGGTTGTATTTTAAGCTCTTTAACGACCTAAGCTTTTATTCTGGTATGTAGGCCCACATGACATGTTATCCAGTTACTAGACAGATGAATTCCTATCAACAAGCAAAGGATCATCGCACTCAATTAAAATGGCAACAAAACCAAACCAGCCACGAAAGCTCACAAACTTTCTGGGCTACTTCCATTAAGAAGTGCTGAGTGTTTCAGTGTAGAATTAGAGCGATGTAGCAAAGCTGGAACCACTTCTGTCTGTGAGTGGTTTAGGCAGGAGATGGCTTTCAGGTACCATCTTCTTCCTGCTGAAGTGACAGTTCATGTGTGTCTGTGGGTGCCTCTCATTGCCGTGCTGTTTCCCCTGGCACGCACCTTGAGGAATTTCTGTTATAATAAATTCTGTATGTAAACATTTTTACTAGAATCATTTTTTGTAGTACAATCTGTAGTGTTAAAGATTTGATGGCTATCGTGGCTCTCAGTGAAATGATCCTTGCCCGTTTTCTTGTTATCTGGCACGGTGGGGTTTTTGTTTTTCCGATAGCAATCAGTAGCAAAAGCACAAGCTGATCTCTTCTCACTTTTTAAAAATAGAGTAAACAAATACATAGTTTACTCAGATAACACGATTGCATGACAGGCTCTTTGAGTTCATCCTGTAACTTCAGGAAAGCTGAGCCCCGGAGTATCAGCAGGTCTTAATTACAAGCGGTCATCGCTGGAAGGAACGATTCCTAAATTCCATGCACTGTCCTGAGTAAAGCTGCTTGAATGCTGGGAAACATAACCTCGGCTGTTCAGCCTACCTTTGTCTGGGGAAGGTGGTTGTTTACTTGTTTTTAGGTGGGCAGAGCCCTCATGTTCAGATGGGACTGAAATGGAGCACCTTGCCGGGCCCTTCCAGTGAGCATATGGCAAAAATATCTCAGAAGTCACGGATAGGACTGTGATTTTTATTAGTAACTTGTACAGGAAATGAAGTTTGTGTTGAAACGAGAAAACCCCTCGCACTTAACTGCAGGCATGTGGCTTGTCTGAGGTGAGGGAAGTGAGCTGCTCTGCTTTGTTCCCATGTGCTGCTATGAGTCGTTTGGCTTCAGCAGCCAAATTTATGTCCTCCACAAGAGTGCAACTCTGTTCTCTGCAGTGTCATAGGTGATTCCTTTGCAACCTCCTTTGCCCTTAGTGGTTTGAATGGATGTAACTAGAGTATGTTTAATGGAATACTTTTCCTGCTGTGTGCTGTAGCTATTTGGAGTAGACAAAAACAATGTACAGAGGAAAGCTTGTTGACTTCTAGGGGAATGTTAACATAATTTGGATCCCAAATGCACATGAGAAGAGATCTGTTTAAATAAGATGAGGTCATAGTTAAACTGTGATGACAGCACTTTTAAGGAAGGAATGTAAGTAATGTAGTTCTTTCCCTGTATGCTTTCATCTTCCTTTTGTGGGAGATCATGAGGAAGAAAGCAAGTATTGAAATATAGCCTTAAAAGGCTCATGAAGAGCATTATGCTGCAAAAACAGTGTAGTTTTAGGCTCTAAACTTCAGGGTATCTTAACATGCAGAGCATAACAAAAGCTACCAAGTTCTATTAAATAAATAGTGAAGAAATTGGACCTATTTAATCTCCTAGTCCTGATAAGCTACTTTGGGAGGGGAAGGCTTTCCATTTGCCAGCTGTTGGTCTTAAAAATAAAATTAAAAAAGCCAAACCACAATCCAGAAGTCAGTCCCCTTATGGAGATAAGCGAGGGAAGTGTAAATGCCCAGTTGTTCAAAAGGAAGCTTTTAGTCTGTTGTGCTGCATTGCGTGAATGTGTTGGCAATGAACTCCTGGTCTGGAGAGGATTCTGCTGTACAAAACTGCAAGGGCATGAAAAAGAATAGAGGCAAGGACTTGAAGTGACTGTGTGTTGTTATCTGTGTTTTCCTTCCCGTGCGGACATGAGACCTGTGCTATTTTCCAGGGATATTTTCTCATTGTAGTATTTTATTTAACCCTGACATTCTCCCTGTGCGTCACAGTAACGTTGAACTGAAAATGCTGTCTATCACTCAGGGTTCATTTATGCCTTTTTATTTTTCTTTGTTCTGGATCTGTGGAGGAGGGTACATGAAATCTCTTTTGTCCTTGTGTAGGTTTTACGCTGAAAGATATCAGGTTGGTGGGTAAAACGTTTTGTGGGAACACTGAGTACTTTAAAGTAGCCTGCCTTCATGTTTAGCGTTGCCATTGAGTAGAAGTTGTTTTCTTCCTTCTCTTTCTTGCTCACAAACAAAGGAAAAATGCTGTGCTTCCTTCAATGTAACTTGTGCAGGAACAATGTCGAGGGTGGAGGGAGGAGAGAGGGAAGGATATGCTGTGTTTGACTCGCAGTAATCCAGTGACATCTCTGTAATAGAACGAGCTACAAAGCTGTAACTCTTTTAAGTTTTTTTTAAGGTTCATCATGAAGTGCCAGCAGCGTCTCTGCCAGCTGTGTTCCCTGGTGTCTGTGCAGTGCACATCCCTTTACCTGGGAGTGCCCCAGGGCAGCAGCCTTGCTTTGCTGGCTGTGCTGTGTTTGGCATGCTGTGATCTCTGTGACCAGCACCTAATTTGCTTTTCGTGGACCAAATGCCTGTCGTACTTCATTCATTTCTGTTGCAGATCCACATAGAAACCTCTTCTGAGTTAGTAAAGTACTGAAGTTGTTTACATGAATGGTTGGGCTTTGAGGCACAGGCAGAGACGGAGGAGGTAAAAATGTAGTGCTCAGGCACATAAGAATCTCTTTGGCTTTTTTTCTTAGCAGTTGTGACTGCTGGGAATGCTTGTGGAAGGCTGCTTGCATCTTACTCAGCGGTTGATGTGAGAACCAGAAAGATGCTCCTGCTGTGCCCCTTGAAAGTGCAGTCGGTGGCACGGTCGCTTGGCCTGTCCATTGACCTACTGTAAAGAGAACTCCCATTGTATTCTATATTCTTTTGCTGATGGCTAAATTTTGAGGTTTGCTGCCTTAGTCACTGGGCCTTTGCATAAACCAATTGTGAACTGCAGCCTTGAAAGCTTGCCTGGAAGTTTCAGATCCCTTGTCTACCATAATCTGTGTTCAGTTTTTTGAACGAGTCCAGCTAATGCTTCCTACAGAACTTGTGCTTGCAGAGGCCATGAAAAGCAAAGCATGCACGGTGTTTGTGGGGAGCAATAGCAAAGCCAGCAGTGATGCGAGTATGTAGATCTGTAGGGTTTTTAGGGTTTTTGGTCTCTGCATCTTAATCATTTATCAGCTCTGCATCCGCCATCAGGTATCAGCTGTAAAAGCCATGAAAGCGATTGTCTGAAGTGTATGAGAGACCTTTAGAATTACGTTAAAAAATTAACATGGGTTTGAATTCTTTTTCTAGAGAGTTGGGACTTCAAGTGTGTGTTTTAAGAGGTGAATTTGATGTGAAAAACAATAGCTCGTGTAGACTGCTCCGATATACAACAGAAGAAATCTTCAGCCTTCCAAGTGTGTGAAACCAAAGACCACAGAAAAGGCATGTGAGGATTTAGAGGCTGATAAAGAAGCAGATGGCAACTGAGCACAAAATGTTTTCAATGAAAATGTATCCTTATTCCTCTCTGAATTGCTTTGACAGTGGCCTGAAAAGATGCGGTCTATGTGGGGAATGGTGAACAGGAGGGAAAGAATGACAGTGAGTGGGAAGCGTGGTCCATATGTATCTTCCACTGAAATGTTTAAACATATGGAGACAGTAACATGATGTGTTCTCACAAATATTCGGAATCTGCTCCTGTTTGTTTACACGGAGCTCAGCAGATAATGCAGCTGAGTGGTATCGTTTGACATAGCTCCATTGACTCGTGCAGTGCTTACCAGCGCGCGCCATCTGGGGCTCTGCTCCCTGTTGATTCAGCAGAGTAGTGGCGAAAACCATGTGCTGGGATTTGTTTTCCCTTCCTCCTCTTTGCTTTTCCCTCTCTTTCTCGCTTCCCTTCCTTTGGAAATGTTGGATGTATGTGAACTATGCACATGGGAGGGAAGGGGGCAAAAGACAGCAAGGAGACAAGCTGGGAGTTGGAGGTGCTGGATCACACTGCCTGTATTTTGTTTTCAATTACATGCATGCACTGCTGTTTGCTTCTTTATTCAGAGTTATATTTTTGTGTTTGTTTGCTTGTTTGAATTCTGAAATATAGTAGAAATTTTCTGTGTCAGCAGAAGATGACGTGCGTTTCAAGTTTTTCTCTTCTAGCAAGCAGATGTGACATGATACAACATTAAGTGGAACTTGTGTGCGTAGCACTGATCCAGCTTCTGCTGGGTTTAAGAAAAGCAGAAAAGGCTTGATACAAACCTGGACGTATTTAGATGTTGACAGGTTGTTTGTCCATTTGGTTGGTATGCAAACTGCAGCAAATAAACATCTGATGTGAGGAATAAACAGAAGGGTGGACAAAAATATTGGAAAAGACGCGGTGTCACCAAGTTAGAAAAATCTGGAGCCTGTTAAAATTTTTTGGTTAGTGTTTTGGTGCTGAATGAAGTTTTCCCTGACTTTCAGTTCCCTCCTGAGCAGCCTGCTCTTCAGCCAAAGGGTTCCTGGAACTTGTATTATGGCTGTGAGAGCATATTTAATTAGGAAGCTGGAGCGGCCGCAGAGTAGTGCAGGCCAATCTGCAGTTAATTACGGGAGCAGCAGTTCATATTTTGAGAAAAGGGCTAAAATGTAAATGTGTGTTTGCTGTTTCCCTTTGTGCTGTAGCAAGGTTCTGTTGCAGGTTGCCATAACCTGGGAGGAGCATCTCAAGTCCTGCAGCCAGCGCCTGGCACTGAAAACCAAGTGCTGATGTTTACTATTTGTGATTTGTGTTGGCACGACTATATGGCATTTTGGGGAGGCCTTCAGTTTTTTGAGTTTTGTTTTTCATTATTAAAGGCTCGATACAATG